GCCTTCTAAGTTTTTAAAATAATTATAAGAAATCAATAGGAAAGTGACTCTATTCGTGTCTTATTGCTGCTGGAACAAATTAGTATGGAGTTTGTGGGCGCAAACAGCGGTTCTGGAGCTCAGAAGTCCAAAATCATGGCAGGGTTGCCTTCCTCTGGCAGCTTCAGGGGGGAATCTATTCTCTTGCCTTTTCTAGCTTCTGGAAGTCAACTCATTCTTCACCTCATGACCCCTTTCTCCATCTCTAGACACTGGACTCCCACATGGCCGTGGTTCAAGTCCTGGACCTGGTGGCTTGAAAATCACACCGGGTGCGTGTGCGTGTGTGCCCATGATCCCAGGAGGAGAATGGAGGAGAAGGATTGTGATGTGGCCATCCCCCCTGGGGGGCGATTCCTCACTTTTCTTGTCACTGTCTCTCTGTCTCTCTAGTGAGCGCATGTGTTCTATGGCAAAAACCATATAAAGAAAAAGAAAGAAATCATGAACGAAAGCAATCTAGTTGAAATGAACAAATTCACAACCCTTCTAGAGTATGCTTAAAAATAGGGGTGATCCTGGTGGTTGAGAGAGAACACTTAACTATTTCCAAAAATATGAAAGCCCGTCCCATGGAGGAAGGGTTAGATGTGGTCTACAGTCAGCCCAGGACTACGGGAGAAAACAGCAGTTGAGCAGGTGCTAACCCAGCCTTGTGAGAGCTGCCTGAGGACGACACGTTCCTTCAGCAAGTACCGAGTTGTCTGATCCTTGAGGAATTTCAGCAGAAGCCAGAAAGCTTCCTGATAGACATGCTAGAGAGGGATCTGATGGATCAGATGGAGCTTTGGGTTAGATTAACTTTCAAGAATCTTCCAAAGGAAAAAAGAAAAAGCGGCAAATTATTACTAATGATATGACAATGACAACTGTCAGAACGTAATATCTTTCATAGCGCTTGCACTGATTCTTGGGGTGGAACAAGGTGGGGAAGGGTATTCATGTGAATTCTTGTCATCTCGGACACTCAGTTCCAAGAGAAGGTCTCTGGTGAGGAATGTATCGGTAACAGCACTTGGACTTTCAACTCAACAGGCATAAGAAAACAGCATGGGCTTCAGGCATGGCTGGATCTGGGCACTCAAATGACTCATCAAGGCCCTTCTTGGCTCATTCCTTTGTCAGGCCCTCTCTCACAGCAAGATGGGTGTCGACAGGCCCACATCCTCATATGTTCCAGCCCAGTGGAAAAGTTGACACCAAATCACAAGTTGTTCAACCAAGAGTCCTAAACCCTGATTGGTTTATGGGACATCTACACATTCCTGAAATATTTACTATGGCTAAAAAGATGCCACATGCTAGCTACTTCTGACTTCTTCTGAATAATGTGTAGAAAAAATATGGAACTGAGTGGTAAGAACAGTCTCATTCCAAGTCCTGAAATATTTTCTCCCATGTGGGGATTTGACTCAACCTTGTTTCATTTATAGGTCTTTTTCTCCAAATGAAATCCCAAACAGAGCTGCTCTTTCTAGAATAACGTAGAGGAGTGGTTTCCTAAAGAAGCCTAAGGTTATTGTTCCCACCGAGGGCACAGGGAGTGACTTCAGGAACCCTCATTCTGTGGGCATGGAACAGAAATCTTGTTTTCCCCAACTTAGAGACCAACCTTTCCTGAAGTTTAATCCTCCTGAAATCAATTGAGGCTTCCTTCCTATCAAGAAAGATTATAATTCTAACCAATTACATTTGAGAAATAGTTGGTTCAGCCAAGTTAGAGAGTTCCTGACCACAAGCCATTTCAGAAACCTTAGTATGCGGGGACCAGCAGTTGGCATAATGGCTATGTCGCTGGACTCCCACGTAGTCTATGGTGGTTTGAGTCTCCGGCTTGGTGGTTTAAACTCACGCCAGCTGTGCGTGCGTGCCCAAGATCCCAAGAGGAGAATAGAGGAGAAGGGATTGCGGCGTAGCCATCCCCCCGGGGGGTGATTTCCCACTTTCTGTCTCTCTGTCTCTCTCTTTCTGGCCAGCACACACACCCTATTGCAAAAACCTCTCCCCCCACACACCAAAAAAAAGAAGGAAAGAAACTTTAGTATGCAAATCTCCAGAGGAAAACAGGGCATGCAGAATTTCACAAACGTCCTCGGTCGTGAATCATCGGAAGCTTCTCTTGGAACCAATATTTCCCAGAACAAACTCAGGGACACACAACTCTGTGGGGACCAGTTTGTTTTTTGACCTAGCCTCAACCTGCCCTGCCCATCATTTTAATGGAGATCTCAAAGAAATACAAGGTTCTGAAGGGAGGCTGGCTTCGTCCCTCCATCACCTCTGTGGAATGTTTAGAAATGAATGTAATAACACAGAGATAAACCCCACCAAATCCCTGGCTTCTCAGAAGAAATCCTCTCCCCATCCAACCTGCTACATGGTGGCTAGAATCAAATTGCAGAATCCTACAAAGAGGAGAACAGTGGTGGCTTATACCAAGAGGACTTTGGCCGCTGCAGGGACTCTTATTCACCTCTGGCCAACCTCCATCCACAGCTGCAGATCAAGTCGGGCTCACATCTGTTCCCCAGACAGTTGACACTCCACCCCGGCTTCCCAGCCCAACAAAGGCTGGCCAGGTTTTCACAGTTAATTCCTCCAGGGCCCCCCGGCTCATCCTCCTTCTTCCTCCTATGAATTCTCAGACATCAAAACCCAAGTTAGCCAAAGCCTTGTTTGCTCAGCATTCAGAACACCTTCAATTCCCAGCTTGAAAGGAGACCGAAAGAAGGTCAAAACAGATGCTATGGTTGAAAAACTTTAAAATAGCAAGACCAGACCGAAGTATTAACAGACGCACCACCGTCATCCTCTGGGCTTCCAGGTCTTGAAAACTGAAGGACTTACTCCCCACTTCTTCTGAGAAGCCCCAAGTCGAAGAGCAGAATGTGATGGGAAGTCAGCCACGATTTCCCTTGGAGGTCACTTTGAGTTGACTCAGGCAATCCACAGATTCTGAAATGGAAATTGGAAGCTCCCTCCACAGCCCCGAGAGTCAGCCCTTAAATGAACATGAAGCCCAAACTGTCCATTCTGGATGGATTCTCTGATTCATTTGGTCCCGTTTTTGGGCCTGTATCATTGTCCCCCAGTCTTAGTTTGCAAAATGATAATTAAGACCTGTTAGGCCTGAAAAGGCCATCTGGTCTGAGGACTTCCCCACGTCTTGGCAGCACAAACAATTCTTACAGACAAAATCTTATAAGGGACTCCAGTATAAAGCAGATAAAGCTAGGTCCCCGGGAAAGGAAAGGGAGGAACCTGCAAGCATTTTCACCTACCAGTTATCCCCTCCACCACTGTGGCTTTGAGCCCCCACCATCTGAACACCTCCATTCAGAGAAATAACTGGGGGGGGGGGGGGGGACTGACCCAGCACGGAAAAGCCTCACCTCGCATGGATCTCAATTCCTGGGCAAGGCTGTCTTCATTTCCAAACAATTGATGATACCACAGTCATCCAAGTCTCTTGCGTTCCAAGCCTTTTTTTCTTTTCTTTTCTTTTCATAATTTTAAAAAAGAGCTTCCCTACTGAGAATATGTTCAGTTTTTTTGTTTGTGTGTTTATTTGTTTATTTGTTTTGAGAGGTTTTTGCTACAGGGCGCAGAGAGACAGAAGGACAGAGAGACAGAAAACGAGAAATCACTCCCCAGGGGAGATGGCCACGTCTCAATCCCTTCTCCTCCATTCTCCTCTCAGAATCTTGGGCACGCATGCACATGTGCCTGGCTTGAGTTTAAGCCACCGGGTCCGAGACTCGAACTACGGTCGACTCCATGGGAGTCCAGCGACATAGCCATTACGCTAACTGCAGGTCTCTAGCCTTACAACAGTCTTGAGAATCAATAGCCCTGCAATCATGGTGAAAACCAACAGTATGGCAACTACCAGAAGAGATAAAATGAGGTTAGAAGGCCTCCCAAGACCCATTCCCAAACAATTGTCAAATGTTGTCCTATAAGTAACTCTCTGGAAATCCCACTCACATGGTTTGTTTTTATTTGACCTGACCCAGAGCATACTCAACACAGACATTATTTCCCTCAACTTTTATCCAAAATAATCAACACCAATCATTTAACATTACAGATGCCTGGGACCAGCAAGTGGTGTGATGGTTAAAGGCACTAGAGTCCCACATGGCCAACTGCAGTTCAAGTCCCAAACCTGGCATCTTGAAAATCACACCAGGCGCATGTGTGTGCATGCCCAAAAGACCAAGAGGAGAATGGAGGAGAAGCGATTGCAGTGTGGCCATCTCCCCTGGAGGGGGTTATTTCTTACTTTCTCTTTTGCTGTCTCTTTCTGTCTCTCTCCAGCAGGCACATGTGCCCTGTAGAAAAAACTTAAAAACAAAGAAATTGCAGATACCTGAGGCAGTGATACCAATCGGGGCAAACAACAACCTGACCAAAAAGTAATAATAATAAATAAGAGGAAAAGTTGACAAGTGAGATGTTCACAGAGCTTTGAAAGCATCTGACATGTTCCTGGGAATCTGGAAGGCCCTCGGCATGCAAAGAGCTCTGCACGTGCCCAGAGATGCATGTCCAGTAAAGATCTGAGAAGGCACTGAGCTCTCTCATTTGGCTGACTCTGAGGGACTGCACGAACAGGAGGTGAAGGCTAAGGCAGAGTTGGACACTGCCTACTTGAGGACTAAAGCACACTCTCAACACACACATCGCTAACCAACCTTCCCTGAAAGAAAAAATAGAGTCCTTCAGGCAGAAATGGAAGAGCATTATACTCGAATTCAGATATACATGAGGAAATAAAGAACACTGATAAATGAAACTAGAGAAGTCAATACAGAAGGCAGTATAAGCATATCCTTTGTAAGTCTTTTTTTCTCTTCTGATTTAAAATACAATTGGATACAACAGTGTTCATAAACATTTTTATAAATTATAGAAGCATGAAGAAAGTTTCTAAGTTTATGAGAAGGATGTTAGTCTGTTTAGCCTGCCATAACAAAGCATCACACACTGGGGTAGGTTAAATAGCAGACATATTTTCATCACAGTTCTGGATGCTGGGAAGTCCATGATCAAGGTGCCAGTTGACTTGGTTCCTGGTGAGAGCACGTTTCCTGACTTGTAGATGCTACCTTCTCACGATGTCCTCATATGGCTGCAAGAGAGATATCGGGGTCACTTTCTCTACTTATTAGGGCACTAGGACTCTAAGTACCTCATGTAAACTATACATTTAATCCTTACAATTACTCCATAAGGCAGACTCTGAAATGTGCTCATATCCCATATTGGTATAGTGAGTTTCTATATAGTTAGGCAATTTACCCAAGATGCACCTAGAGTCACAGTTTAATCCCCTCCAGAATTCAAGATCCTTGCTGAACTCATCCTCCTTGATGAGTCCAGCATCATCCTGCCTCTCAGGAAAAAGAAAAAAATGGAGAAAATTCTCAGTTCTTCCACTGGACTGAGCCACTGACAGGCTTTCTCTCCTGTGCCTGCTCACTCACAACTCTGACAGCACTTTACTGGAAACCTCAGTGAACTCCCACCACCTCCCACTAAACTACCTCCTTGAGGGCAGAAATGCATCTTCCATCTGTGAGTCAGAATTTGCCACAGGAAACTGTTGCCCGGGTACTAACACCTGCCATTCATTAGACCTTGAATCTGCTGGAGCTATCCTGGGATCCAGAGGCCTTTAGATCTGTAGAGCCACATTTCTGGGAGGCTGGTGTGTTTGGAATTGTCCTGTCATTCTGATGGAACCCTCCAGCTCTCCCAGCTGCTTGGGGGAGTCATGGATGAACAATGCAACTCCTGCCCTGCAACACTGACACAGACTCGCTAATTCTTTAAGACAGCCCTAGTTCATAAGGTGGACTTTTCTCAATCGAAGCAATTTGCTAAGTGTTCAAGCATTATAACTGTCATTTGCTAAACTGATATGGGACTTTTTATATAGAGAAATTTGCAAGTCAAAGAAAAACCTTTGTTAGCCCACAGGTCCTTTCTAAACCACCTTATTAATCATCTTAAGGAAGCCACAACCTTAACAATCAGTCTTATCAGTAAAGGCAAAATAAGAGACACAAAGAGAGATCAATGTTAAAAAAAAAATTCTTTTATAATTGTTTTAATTAAAGAAATACATTAAATACTAGTTAAAAAATAAAAGGAAGAGAATGCCTCTAAGTAAAAAGAGGAGGAAAAAACATTACCCTGCCCAGAAATAACCACTATTAGTGATTCGATGTATATCTTTTTTTTTTTTTTTGAGAGGTTTTTGCTATAGGGTGCATGCGCTCTCCAGACAGACAGAGAGAGACAGAGAGACAGAAAGCGAGAAATCACCCCCCAGGGGGGATGGCCACACCGCAATCCCTTCTCCTCCATTCCCCTCTCGGGATCTTGGGCACGCACGCACACGCGCCTGGCGTGAGTTTAAGCCACCGGGTCCGGGACTCGAACTGCGGTCGACTACGTGGGAGTCCAGTGACATAGCCATTACGTTAACTGCTGGTCCCTCAATGTATATCTTTCCAGACTATTCTTTCTGCACACCTACTTATACAAAAGTGAGACCATGCATACTGTTTTGAACCTGCCTTTTCTCTCAGCATTATTATAAATAACATCGTTCCAATTTTCCACGCTTTTCTTCCTCGCTCTGACTGCACTTTGTTGGAATGTTTCATCATGTTTTATGACCTAAAAGTATTGTATAAAATGAATGTGTCTTGCTTATTTTACTAATCCCCTATTCTTGGATATTAGAGTGATTCCAGCTTTTTCCTCTTATAAACGACTTTCTGTCTCAACATTTTTAACAAATGGCACTCATCTAACAGAATGGAGCTTAAGACATACATTTCCATGAGTAGTCTGCACATCATATGAAATTCACTCTTATCCTGAATTCCATTTTCTTTCTAGACTTTTTTTTTTAAAGGTTTTTGCCATAGGGCACATGCGCTCACCAGAGAGAGACATACAGAGACAGAGAGAGGGAAAACGAGAAATCATCCAGGGGGGATGATCACACCATAGTTCTTTCTCCAGTCTCCTCTTGGGATTTTGGGAATACACACACACATGCCAGGTGTGATTTTCAAGCCACCAGGTCTGGGACTTGAACCATAACCCACCATGTGGGAGTCCATCTCCTTAACCACTATGCTACTTGCTGGCCCTTCTTTTTAGACTTTTAACTTTTGAATTCTTTCCTGTTCCTCAACTGTTTTATCATCCACTCTCTTTCCTTGGTCCTCATTCCCTTCCTGGCCACTCATCTTCCAGTTTCTTCTGAAACAACCTTGTCTTTCCCCTCTGTTAAGCCCACCTCTGCTCTATTCCCCTTTTGCTTTCATCCGCTCACGTTGTGTGCTATTGACTCATACCATCCTTTGAAGCCTACTGTACAAAAGACAGACGTGAGGCCTTGTGGGGATCAAAGGGCGAATACAGCCCTTCCTGAGTCCTAAAGGAGTTCAGAGTCTAATTGGAGATGCAAAGTACACATACCCAGTGGGATGCTCATTAATTGGCTCTCTGAGGGGAGAGAAAGCCCTTGATGTGTGGGTGTGCCCATTTCCAGGCTATGCGATATTCCCACCATGGCCAAGCTATCAATATGATGTCTTTGAGCTGAGAGTCGAGAAGAGACGCACCCGTCCCAGCTTCAGGACACAACTGTGTGTACATGAAAAGCGAAACCATGAGGAGGCTTCCAGAAGCTCATGGAAAATGGAGCTGAAGGACAAGTTGATTTTAGTGCAACAAAAGTTTGAAATCCATGCATAGCTTTTCCATCACACACACTTCCCTGGAACATTTTGAAGGCCCTACATACATATGTATATGTGTACATAGCTACCTATACTCACATATGTATATATGTATTTTAGCTTTTCTGTTCCGCTCAGTCGTGCATGTACATGTTTATAAACCAGACAAGACCACCAGAGCAGGTACTTAGCGAGAGATGATCATGTCCTCACCACCGCCATCACCGTCTTCTTCTTCAGTCATGTTGATTAAGCAGTTACCCCATACCCAGCGCTGTGTTGAATGTCTTAGGCGCATTGCTTCACAAGACAGCCCCTAGGAAGCAACATTGTGATTACCTTCAACGCGACTTCCCCCTTGCAAAGTTAGGGTCTTAAAGAGGGAAGTAATTTCCCCCTGGACACTCATTCAATGTAGTAAGTGGTGAAGTCGGGATTAAATCAAAACTCATCTGCGTCCAGAGCCCAGACTCGGATGACTACCCTCTCCTGCTGCTTCGTGCCAGAAAACTGGGCCTCAGGGCTCCTTGTGAATTCAAGGGTCAGACCAGCTAAGAGTCCAGGGAGCTGCCCAGGCATTCCGGGCAGGCCACATAACCAAGCTGCCTCTGCAGTTATTTCAGCTCTCTCCGATGGGCCGGGAAGGCTGGTTTGTAACACCCAAAGTTGCCCTTTATTTGAAGGGGGGAGGTGGGAGTGGAGGTGGGGGTTTGTTTTAGGGCACATGCACTCACCAGAGAGACAGAGAAACACAGAGAGAAATAAAGTGAGAAATCATCCCTCCAGGGGGATGGCCACAACATAATCCCCTCTCTTTCATTCTCCTCTTAGGACTTTGGGCATGCATGCACACACACCCAGCATGAGTTTCAAGGCCAGGTCTGGGACTGGAACCTTGGTTGGCCATGTGGGAGTCCAGCGCCTTAACCACTACACCACCTGCTGGCTCCAGTTCTCTCTTCCTTTTGTACCCTCCCCCTTTCTACCAAGGCTTCCATGAGTCTTTTCTTTCTTAATTTTGATAAAAGGGACATGTGAACACATGCCCAGCATGTATTTCAAGTCAGCAGGTTCAAGATTTGAACCACGCCATCAGCCATGTGGGATCTAGCCACGTTAACCAACACACCACCAACTGGCCCCCTTCATGAGTCTTTTTAAATTTAAAAAAATAATAGAAATAACTATAGTTTTCTTGTGCCTATTTGTTTATAACTTATCTCCCAAATTCTTTTTACACATTTCTATCTCCTTATCAATTATCATTGACAACTCTTTACTATGAAAACTGGGAGATTAAAAAAAAAACTATGTAACTAGAAGGAATGCATATTTATAAAGGCAGATGAAAGGCCCACAGGTCTGGGCAGACACACTCTGTCAGCAGGATAAGGTTGACACGCATGTATAATAAACAGGAGCATCAGTGTAGGAATTTTGTAATAATTCTCCATTCTTTGGCTCTAAGGTCTCTGAGCTTAGTTCTATAATAGAAGGACCTGAGAAAATTAGAATTCAGAAGAACACCGCAAAGACGATTAGAGAATCGGAAAAAATATATAAGATCAACAATGAAAGGTTAAACATACCAAAAATCTTCTTACTAGAGTAGAAGGCTGCTAGAATAAAGAATGGTTTTCCCAGCCAGCAGATGGCATGGTGGTTAAGGCGCTGGATCCCATTGGCCGACTACGAGGTTAGAGTACTGGGCCCAACCATTTGAAAATCATGCTGGGCGTATGAGTGTGCATCCCTAAATCCCAAGAGGAGAGTGGCAGAGAAGGGATTATGGTGTGGCCATTACCCCTAGGAGCTGATTTCTCACTTTCCTTCTCTCCTCTCCTCTCCTCTCTCTCTCTCTCTTTCTCTCTCTCTCTCTCTCACTCTCTGTCTTTCCAGTGAATGCATATGCTCTACAGCAAAAATAAATAAATTAATAAAAATAAAAGAAAGTTTTCCAGTACCAGCAGTTAGTTTAATGGCTGTGTCGCTGGACTCCCATGTAGTCAACCGTGGTTTACGTCCCAGACCCGGTGGCTTAAAACTCACACCAGGCGCATGTGCGTGTGTGCCCAAGATTCCCAAGAGGAGAATGGAGGAGAAGGGATTGTGGCGTGGCCATCCTCACTGGCGAGTGATTTCTTGCTTTCTGTCTCTCTGTCTCTCTCTGTCTGTCTGGCGAGAACATGTGCCCTATGGCAAAAACCTCTCCAAAAAAACTTTAAAAAGAGAAAGAAAAAAAGGAAAGTATTCCATTGCAGGTAGGAATAAGGAATTGATATTTCTTGAGTAGTTACCATGTGTCAAGAACTCTATTTTGTATTTTATATACAGTATTTCAAAGAACTTACAGTAACCCTCACAGCAGGCTTTGTCGGTATCGCTACTTTTAGATGGTAACACAGTGTCTGCAAGGCTTTGACCACACGTTCTGGGTCATACAGCTGACACATGAAGAATCCGAATCCACACCCTGCCTTGTGATGCTCTAAGCTCATGCCTTTTCCATGGTCAGCCCTGCCTCCAACTAAGCTAGCAGAGTTTCTCAACTGGCAACTGTTGTCACTGATGTCAGGTCATCCCTGTGTGAGCATCAGTCCTGAGCACTGTGCAGTGTTTAATGCCTCCCCTGGCCTCTGCCTTCTAGAACCCAGTAACCTGCTCAACACTCACCAGCTATGACACCCAGGAATGTATCCCTAGGGGACAAAAGCACCTCCAGGTATGGGTCACTGAGATAGAAGTTTGTAGCATATTTAGTGCCAAACTGTTCTCCCCCTTGCCTCGAGATTTTTTTCAAGCAGTCATTTCAATCACCAAAAAGTAAAACTGAGGCCAGCTCCGTGGCATGGCAGTTAAGGCAGCTGGATCCCATGTGGCCGACCATATGGTTCAAGTACTGAACCCGGCAGCTTAAGAAACATGCCAGGTGCATGGGCCCGTGGGCCCTAAATTCCCAAAGGAAGGAGAAAATGCAGAGAAAGAATTACAGCATGACTGTGCCCCAAGGGATGGGTGCTTTGTCACTTTCCCTGTCTCTTTCTGGTGATCACACACACCCTCTAGCAAAAAAGTAAAGGTATACCCCCCATGTAAGCTATTAACTTTAGCACATGCTGCAATGCTATGCTATAGGTTTCCTGGAAGTAGGAAACTAGGGCCAGCAGGTGGTGTGGTGGTTAAGGTGCTGAACTCCCACATAACTGACCACAGTTCAAGTCCCATACCGGGTGACTTTCTTTCTCACTTTCCCTCCCTCCCTCTCTCTGTCTCTTTGGTGAATTAATAATAACAAATAAATAAATGTAAATAAATAATTCTTTTTTAAAAAAAATAGGAAAACCTGAGACCAGCAGATGGCCTAATGGTTATGATGCTGGATTCCCACATAGTCACCTGCAGTTTGAGTTCCAGACCCAGTGACTTAAAACTCATGCTGGGGGTGTGTGCGTGCGTGCCCAAAAACCTGAGAGGAGAACGGAAGAGATGGGATTGTGGCATGTTCATCCCCCTGGGGGGCTGATTTCTCACTTTCGGTCTCTCTCTGTCTGTCTCTAGCAAAAATCTCTCTCAAAAGAAAAAAAAAGTAAATAAAGAAAAAAGAAAAAAAAAAAAAAAAAGAAGAGACCGAAGCAGAGGTCTAAGGCAACCTCCGAGGTTTCCCAGCTCACGAATGGCAGAGCTCCCCGTTCTCCCCAAGTCCCTGTCCCCTGCCACAACTTCCAGAACTAACCTTGAGCTATTCCCACAGTCTGGACAGTCAGCCAGGCCAAAGCTGTGGAAGTGCCACCTCCACACCCAATAGGCAGCTTGAAGCATCAGCAGGTCAATAGCCTCTTTAAAAAAAAAAAAAAGTATTTATTTAATTGCAATTATTATTATTATTATTTAATTTGACCAGAGAAAGAGAAAGGGAAAGCAAGAAAGCAAGTCGCCGGGTTCAAGAATTTGAACTGCTGTCAGCCATGTGAGAATCCAGTGCCTTTAAACACCACGCCACCTGCTGGTGTTTTAAAAATTCTGTTTATTTTTTGTATTTCTTCCTTGAGTGAGAGACAGACAGAGATGGGGAGACAGAGACAGCATCCCCAGCAGGGTTCTCACATTCAACTTCAGTCAGCCAGGACCACAGGCACATACTTCGTGCATTCAGGGAGGTCTCCAGATGCAAACCGAGACCCTTCCCATGTGGGTCACCCTCCCAGGGTGTCACATTTTCCCCCACGGCGCTACTGTCTTGCTCTGTCACAATCTGGCTCCAATAGTGTCCTTTAAAAAAAAAAAAGAATTATTATTTATTATTATTTCTTAATTTGACCAGAGAAAGAGAAAATGGAAAGTGAGAGAGAAAGCTGCCAGGTCTGGGACTTGAACCATGGTCAGCCATGTGGGAGTCTAGCACCTTAACCACCATGCCACCTGCCAGCCCCCAGTAGTGTCCATTTTTAACTATAAAAGGCAGAGAGGAAAGGGTTGGTCAGTTTAAGACCCTCACTCCCCAGCATTTTCTGGGATCCCATGAGCCTCCTCCTGGGGTCACTTTTGGCCAGAATGTTCTCCCTGACACTGCTCTACCCACCTTAAGCCTCTGCATTTGCCCCAGAGGAGGCCTGAGCCCACAGGGCCAAACCCAGGGACTGGGAGGCTCTAAAAGACAATTCCTGTCTTCCTTCCAACCTTGGCTCAGGGCTCCCTGCAAGCCGCGAGCCTTTCCCCCCACCCGTGGTTCCTCCCAGCAGTCAGGCCTCAGAACCTCTGTGTTTTGGCCTTGACCTGTGGCTCGGGCCTGGCTCTCTCTAAGACAGTGACCCGACCTCCCAGGATGCTGCCATGTGGCTGGGGGGGGTTTCCTTCCTGTCTTCTCATATTTTCTCCCTCACTGCCGTCTGTAACTGGCATTGGTTGGGTGTGAAAGAGTCACTGGGCCACAGGTATGCATCCTTCTCCGGTGAGCACTGGCCGTTCCAATCCAAAGCAGAAGTCGCGGTGTCGCTGTCCTAGCAGGGAGGGGGACGCCCAGCCTGTGGTGTGGCAAATGAATGCAATGTGCCCCTCCATGGCTGCCGGCTTTGTTAGAGCCCTCCTGGCCTATCGCCTTTTCAGCCTTAGAAAATCTCTCCTACCTGGGCCTTCTTCCCTGCCCAGGGCAGCAAGGAACCAGAAAGCAGTTTTGAACCCAGAACCCAGATAGAGCTGGGTTCAAATACTGTGACATTGTTTCTTTTTTCTCGTTTTTTTTGTTGTTTTTTTTTTTAAATTTTCTATGGGGCCCATATGCTCATGGGAGAGAAAGGAAAAGAGGGGAAGTGAGAAAGCAACCTGAAGGAGGATAGCCATGCCACATACCCCTTCTCCTCCATTTTCCTCTTGGGATTTTGGGCATGCACACACACACACACACACACACACACGCACACAGCTGGCATGTTTTTCAAGCCATCGTGTCCAGGACTCGAACTGCACGGTGCACAGTTGACCATGTGGGATCCAGCCACCTTCGCCTCCACGCCACCTGGCTGGTCCAACACCATCATTTCTTAGCTTCCTCGAACTTTCCTCCTCTAGATAAAGGGGACGATTCGTGAGAAAGGAGGGACCAGCTCGACCACAAAACCCACTCCAAACCATAAGCCCAGGTGTGCCGTAGCTATCCCATCTAGGGTTGTGTAAGCACACACGATGATGTCCACACAGCAAAATCACCACACGATGCAATTTCAGAACGTAGCGCTATCGGAAGCAAAGCACAGCTCTCTTCCCGTTTTACAGATGAGTCTCAGAAATGACAGACGCAGCCGCGGCCCCCATGGATGGAGGGAGGTGGGGTAAATGCAGATGCGGGCTTTCACTCCCACACCTACCACCACTACTGGGATGGCCTGGGCTGCCGGAGATGGAGAAAGGCTCTGGAGGGAGAGTCCAAGCCAGAGCTGCAGCAAATCACCTGCGTGTCCTGCTTTGATCGATGTCACCACGGGGGTCTCCACACCCACATCCTCAGTGGATTCTGGGCTCATGCTTCCAGAGCATGACAGCCGGGCTCCGCTTTCTCAGACCAAACATGCACATGGGAAGCCATTTCCTGGGGGGTTATGGTAGGTCAGAACCCTGATCAATTTCCAGCTCTGTATAACTGGGTGATTTCAGCTCAGTGCCCTGAGCTTCCATGTGAACGCCCAGGGAACAGATGTTCCAAGAAATAGTTCCAATCTGCTTTCTGCCACTCCAAGATGTAGGGGACGTCCACACTGTGTCCTAGCAATGAATCATGACCTCTGGCATCGAACTTCGGATTCTGGAGGGAGGGAGATGTCCTGTTTTCCCTAAGAAAAAGCCAAGCCCCATGGCTTAGTGCGTAAGGGAGCTGGATCCCACCTGGTAGACCACATGGTTCAAATCCCAGTCCTGGCAACTCGCAGAACACAGTGTGTGTGTGTGTGTGTGTGTGTGTGTGTGTGTGTGTGTGTGTCTCCCCAAAACCCCAGCAATGGAGTAACAGAAGGGAAGGGACTGCAGCCTGACCATGCCCTGTTGGGAAGTGTTTTCGCCCTCTCTCTCTCTCCTCATCTCTCTGACTCTCTCATGTGTTCAGGGGTATTTATGTTCCGTTGGCGTTTGCACAGACCTTTCAAGTCTAAACGGGGGTTTATCATCTGGGGTTTCCATCAGACTCCATCTGCTTCAAGAACTGTGTGCAAACAGTAGCATCCAAAACTTAGAAAGGGGCGGGGGGGG